ATACTTAATTTAATCAATTACTCTAATAATATGTGATTTTATAAAAAAAATCCTAAATCTGAATATTTTGTAATTTTGTAATAAAATTATGATGTTTTTGTCAACAAAATTCAAGATTTTTCAGTAATCAAGATCTTCGATTCGAAAATAATTCGATACTGGATTCAACCGTTATCTGCAGCTAGAATTCAAATTCAATATTGCTCTATAATCCGTATCTTCTCCGTGTGTCAATGTCCGCATACGCTCACATGTCTTGTGTAATTTTTAATACGTTTATATGATAGACCCTTTGACATCCTTTAATTCCATCGGAAATCGGTACCATCAAAATAGTTATCGGAATTGATACCATCACGCGGTTTGTTGAAACCAAATGACGTTGGACTCGACGACGAAGTATTTTTCAGTATCGACCTCGGCATGGTTGTCGGAACCAAAGCCTAAGCGTTTTTCGGATCGACATTGAAATATTTGTTGGAACCAAGGTTAAAATATTTTTTTGGAACCAAAATATTTATTAGGACCAAAGCCAAAATATTTTCTTATAACAAAAATATTTATTGGGACCAAGGCCTAATATGTTTTGGATTCAAAATATTTGTTGGGATCAAGACCAAAATATTTCCTTAGGAACTAAAAGTATTTGTTGGGAGGGATCAAGGCCTAAAATATTTCCTTGAAACAAAAAATATTTGTTGGGATCAAGGGCTGAATATTTCTCTAAAACCAAAATATTTGTTGGGATCAAGGGCTGAATATTTCTCTAAAACCAAAATATTTGTTGGAACGAAGACCCAAAACATTTATTTGGAACCGAAATATTGTTGGAATGAAGATATTAGTTGGGACCAAAATCACAGTATTTTCCCGAATCAACTATTGTATTTTTATCGAAATCAACTTTTAGACTGGATCTTAAAAAAACATTATCGGTATTCGAAATCAAAATCTTATCCGGAACCAATTAATACTTTTTAGGGTAATATAGGTCTCCCTTAGGCCTCATATTTATTTTATTCTAAAACTATTATTTTTATTAACTCACACACTCACGTGGTTTTTAGGGAGTTGGTCACCATTGAATGCTTAATCGCCTTAACTATTTGACGCGTCTGGTCGATTAATTTTTGTGGTAACAGGTTGTGGTTACAGTGTTAAATTTTAAAATTCAGCATCATGCTGACAGTACATCGTGTGTTAACAAAAAATACACCATATAAGTTAATATAATACAAATACATCACATGAACTAATAACATATAGGTTATAGCTTCATACATCACACTCAACAGTTAATTTTATTATACGACATACTTTTATAAAATACACTTGTAATTATTAACAAACAACACATGTCTTTATTAAACAATATGTGTGATGTTTGTATATCTTACGGAACACAACGCTAATCTTTTCAATTTCATGCCAATAAAACAATATTTACTATGTCACTATTCATAACTCAAATCTAAAATTAAAACCCCACAAACCAATAACAACCTAAATTTTTACATCGCTCTAATTAGTTTAATTTGTTTGTGCGACCTCAATAAAAATTTCCTACATTAACAGTACGAATTTTGTTTTTTTATTTTAAATTGAATTTAATATTATTTATTCTGCATAATTTTAATAAAAATCACAATTTTTATTCACAAAACATCACATTAAAATTATTTATATAAAAATTCAAATTAATATTTATTTCAAATTAATTTTAAATAAAACCAAACAAATCAATAATAATTTTTAAAAAATAAATACTTTTGAAAATTATGGCAACGTTACTTGAAATTTAGCAACACTTTTGAAAATTGAATAAATTATATATATATATATATATTTCAATAATCCACTTTCTTGCAAAACAATTTGATTATACTCCATACCTTTGAATTACATCTTTGAGATGTATAGGAATTGCATTTTTATAATTGTATATGGAATATTCCATTAATCTATCTTTGTTCAGCTTTAGCTTTTTTTAGATGGATTAGTCAAATTTATACCACTACAGGAAAAAAATCATTTTGTAACAATTTTTTTTTTTTTTTCTCTAAATCTACTTTTTCCCTTCCTAATGACATTAGAGAAGGAATTAGTAATAGAATTACGTTAGCTACGTGAATTTTAGGGACGAAATTCTATTACAAATATATTATTTTTTTTGTAGTGTACATTTGACATTTGGAATCTCACATTAATCAATACACTTCATGTCTTCCCATCAATATCTTTAATGTTTTGTATAAATTGTAAAAATATTACTTATTTTATTCATAAATTGTAAATAAATTTTTCAAAATCTTTCTTACACATTTTTATTTATTAATAAAATAAAATTATTTTTTATTTTATTATAAAAAATTGTATAAATTGGAATAGAACAGAGGATAATTTGAGCATATTGTTTTTGCACTATATAAAATCTGATTTTTTTCTTACATTATTTATCAAAGTTTTTTTCTTCAAAATTAGTTAATTAAACATATAATTTTTTATTTTACATATTTGTTTATAAAACATCAAACACTATTTTAATTTAAATTTATATTATTTTCAACGTTGGAATCAAAATTCAAATACTAAAGAAATATCGATATCCTTATTCTCAACATAATTTCAATAGACTAAGGATGTTACGTGGTCATGAATTTTTAAACACAACTTGTTCTCATATTTAAAGAAACTTTTCAAGTGATTTTATTGACTCACTTACTCAGCACTGATTCATTATTTATAATATAAATAGTATAAAATTCATCATAGTAAACAAGCTCTTGGAGTACTAAATCGGAAAGTAGAATAGAACACTAGTTTGCAAAGCAACATGTGAACTTTACAGTCTTATCATAACCACATATATATAGTTGAAGTTCAAGTCATCTAAACTTATCGAATCCAATGGTTACCCGAGTCCTTGTGAATCATACTCTCACATGTAAAATTAAGCTCATAAAAACCAACTAAATCTAAAACAAACTAGTAACATAAAGTGGAGACCAAAACAACAAAAAAAAAGGCAATGCTATGTCGAAAGCATTTGAAATAGTACTTTAGGAGCATAATTAGGTGTCCTAACTACCAAAGTATCAGAAAACGAGCCGAAGAGAATTTTATTGAAAGAAGATTATTTGTTTGAAGTGAGTTTGGATATCATTGCAACTGATCAATGTTTAGAGCATATTCTCCATTATTTAGGTGATTTTACAGTTAATACGATTGAATTATTAACTAATGAGGCCTTAGAGCCTCCCATGACCAATCACGACTTCTGTAAGGCAGCATTACAATGAAATAGACCAACTTTGCAATGTTAGCTGATGATGAGGGCAACACAATACAACCTCCTAAATGTTTTTGCATCTTCGATGATGCTACAAGGAGTTGAGGCCCGAATTGAAGCTAATCTAATAACCTAAAGGGTCGATGTGTGAACCAAAATGATTTACTATTTGAAGCCCAAGCTCGAGATGATGAGCATTCTTGGAGCTAATCAAGTCACACCATTTTTTTATAAAAAATAACAAATGTTCCTGAGGAATTAAGTCAATTCAACATTTTTAGGGAATCATTTGTTACCCTTGCCTCAAAATGCCTCGAAGTGATGAGACCTTATATAAACAATGTTTGAGGTAATAAAAAGGAATCGAAGATTGTCTTAATAGTGAAGTTCCAAAGCTCGATGATTGGCCCAAAAGCAAAAGCGTAGCATGTTGAGTAAACCATAACAACATCAAGTGAAGTCCCTGAAGGTTCGAGTGAGGTCTAAAGACATCAAATAAAGGCTCTATAACGTTAAGCAAAACCTAACAATATGAAGCGAGACCAACAATCCGTCATTTTGAAAATAAAAGCCCATTTGACCTAACTCAGGATAGTAGACTCACAAGCGCAAGTAGGGGCCCGGCTCGTATTACAACTCATCTTAGTCGTTTACTCAATTCAATCAATACTGATCCACAACCTAGTAAAAATTGCAAAACATACGGTCCATTATTCCTCACAATTTTTTTGACATAAGACTTTTTGTTTATTTTACCTATTTTCACCCTTTTGATATTGTTTCTTTTTTTTTTTTCCTCTTACAAAATATCATATCAAATACTAACATTTTATTTTTTTCAAACTTCCAAAATTTCAAAAAAACAGCAACCAACAACTCTTTTATTGTATTCAATGGTCATGGAGAGTGAAAAGTTGCAAATAAAAGTGGAGAAATGGGTAAAGACCTACTCGAAAATTCAATCTTATTTCTATATATTTTTACTTTACTTTTTTTGTACTTAATTAAACACCTTCTTGCTTAGTTTATTCACATTGCTTTTAATAAATTTCATAGTCATTTTACATAAATTTCGATTCATTTCTTCTCAATTTATTTCCTACTCCAACGATTCAGTTCACCATATCACTTTTATATGATTTTATCTTGTTATTTAGGGATAATCCGACATAGTTTTGATTCTTTTTCGAAAGTTGAAAATTTTACTGATTTTTACACCGGCTCTATTTGTAAAATCGTCGTTAATAATTAAATTTTCAATAGTCGATTAAAATATTAAGGGCATTTTACTAGTGAAATTTGATTTTACTATTCCAATTTTTTTTTTCTCTTAAAAAAATATCAAATTAAACACCTATTTTTTATTTAATTGAAATTAAATTTTATATTCAAAACATATCATTAAAATATATTTATATCATATCAAATAATTAATTCAATTAAAAATTTTACTATTCAAAATAAAAATCTCACAGATAAACAAGCAATTAGTAGAACTCTACTAATTCACAATAACACAAATTTCAACTTTCATCCCAAACAAATCCCTATATCCATAATCCAATGCTTTTACGAACTTCCTACGCCCAAGAATGAACGAACCCTTCATTTCCTCATATCAACTAAAATATGACACGGTGAAATTCTAGAAAGTACTGAGGGGTATTTTGGGTATTTAAAGGGTTTATATGTAATTTAATAAAGGAGAAAAAATAAATCAAAGAACGGTGGCTTCTCTGTACAGACGGGAATTGAATTGATGGCCCAAGTTTGCGGAGCATTACCAGACGCTTCCGTGGTTCTTCTGTCCGCCGGTGGCTGCCGTTCGCCGGAGCTCAGGAACTTCAACTCATTATGTGATACCAAGTTCTTTCTCTCCTATGGTTTCCCCAAAGTGAGAGACGCTACTCTCTTCTTTATTTATTTTCTTCGAAATGATTTTTTTTTTTTTTTTTTGAAAACTTTCCTTTTCCACTTTTGATGATTGGAGTTGCTGTAACTTGTTGAAGCATGGTGAAAGTTAGATTGCATCGTTGCTTTTTAAGGCTTCATGAGATGAATAGTCGTTTGCGTTTGGAATGAGGACAAAATGATTGATAGTTTTCCGTTATTCTGGTGGAGCATTAATTTAATATATGTTACCGACATATTCTCGCTTTCGAATGATGTTATCTACAGGAAGTATCCGATTTAGTATTTAATTACTTTTGTATGTTGATGCTCTGCTAATACCTAATGTAATTTATAAAGTGAAAATCCATTGATTGGGGAAACTATCTCTGTATGAGGTTTCCGAACTCGTATATTTAGAAGGTCATCATCCTCTTAAGATCAGAATCTTAGATACTTGATTTTGTTGTATACAGCTTGTGTTTGTGTAGGTGATGTGTAACTAAAGCCGTTTTGATTTTTTGTAGAATACCTCTGAGTGTTCTGTTTGATATTTTGGATGTATACCAGAGATTTACTCACAAGCCTGTTCATGGATGTTGGTGACATGTGATGGCATTTTTAATCTGTTCAAAATCGACAATCTCTCAAATCTAGATAATTATTGTTGTTGTCGTTTTTGTTGTTATTATTACTAGTTTTCTTTCTTAACATAACTTCTTGATGTAGAATTATTCTTCTCATAATCCAAAGTTAGCTGTTGGGTCACAAAAGCTGAGAACAAGGAGTTTTATGGTCAGAGCTTCTGGAAGCTCAGATGGTGATCATACCCCACTGGCTCCACTTGAACTGGAATCTCCGGTTGGTCAGCTTCTGGCCCAGATTTTGCAAACTCACCCGCATTTACATCTAGCAACTGCTGAGCAGCAGCTTGAAAATCTAAAAGTCCAAAGGGATGATGAGAAAGATCAAATGGCGCCATCATCTCAAGATCTGCTCCTCTATAAGTATGTCATTTATTTTTTTATTTTTTATTTTGGCATAGTTATTGTGTGTATATATATGTGTGTGTGTGTGTACACAGGCTTGGCATACATGAAAATAACATTATAATTCTCATGTTTAATACCCTGTACCTGAATGACTGGACTTCCTGGTTGATTGTAGTGGTTATAGAATGCAGATCTTTTAATCTAGGCTTACTTAAGGATGGATTGCTTGATCATTTACATGTCGTAGACTCAAGTGCAAAAGGGACTTACTGTGTTTTCTGCTGTTTATCTGCCTTTTCAGGTTCCACCTATAGTTTAACAGGTCTCTCGGAACTTTATTGATGTTTCAATTGAGTTGTGCTGGGGTTGTGCCTGTGAATCAATGCTTTGAGTCAATTGGGGTGTGCTTGTCTTTTGGTTTTATGTAATGTTTTGTGAGAGAGAATAGTATATATATTTTTTAGAAGCCTAGGGATTGCAATAGTAGAGAGAAAAAAAGTTTCTAAAAGAAGAGAGCCTTGTGTGTTTTTCTTTAATTGGATATTGTAGCTTTTATGAAGGGGATATAGATGGTTTGTGAGGTTATTTTTTTTCAAACTATATATTGGAAGGGAAAATTTTAGCCGAAATTCCGATGATCATATTTTTGGAAATAAAGCATGGTGAGGTTCCCTTCAAGGACTCTAGGGTAGATTTGAAAGTTATCAATTGAGTGTGCCGTCCGTATGATTTGTGGCACCAATAGTGCTGGTTAAGGAACTGAAAATAAATAGAAGGCTTTCTCAGACTGAAATCTTTCTGTAATCTGTGATCCCACCTACAATCCTCATCTTCATTGTGGTTTGGTTTTAAATTTTAGGAATATATGGTTTACGATCTAGATTTTCTGGTTAGACATTCTAGCGGTCCATGTAGGACATAAAGGTCGCAATTCAACTAGTGGGTAAGGTAGTGTTAATGTACCTATCAAACATATCAACCACAGATTAGAAAGCTGGATGGAGAATTTGAGAATCATGTGTTAAATGTGGTTCTTGATTGAAGGTATTTTGGAAATAGAAGATATCAGGTTGGTAAACATGACCGAAGTCACTTAGAATTATTTATTGAGAAAAGATTAATCTCCTAACTTAATTGATGGCTGTTCATAATTAATTATTTTTGTGCTCAATGGGAAAACAATAAAATAAAATAATTGAAACGAACAATCTGTTATATGAATTGGCCTCTGAAACAAGTTTGACATTCACTACTCTGTTCATATTAAAATTAGTAGTATTCTATTATTATTATTATTATTATTATTATTATTATTATTATTATTATTATTATTATTTTTTTTTTTTTTAAATTGTGTTTCTGGAAATAGTTTTAGGTTATTGTAAGTATTAATTATATATGATGGTGATTAATGATCAAGCTACTGGTCGGTTGATGAACAAACATCTTTAATGCTTTCAGGAGAATAGCTGAGGTGAAAGAGAAAGATAGGAAGAAAACTTTGGAGGAGATTTTATATTGCTTGATTGTACAAAGATTTGTAGATAAAGGTATATCAATGATCCCTAAAATATCAGCAACTTCAGATCCTGCAGGCCGTGTCGATCTTTGGCCAAATCAAGAACAGAAATTGGAATCAGTACACTCTCCAGAAGCATTTGAGATGATAATGAGTCATCTATCTCTTGTTCTTGGCGAACGGGTTGTTGGACCCCTGGACACAATTATACAGATCAGTAAGATAAAACTTGGCAAGCTCTACGCCGCATCAATCATGTATGGATATTTTCTCAGAAGAGTTGATGAAAGGTATCAACTTGAAAGATCTATGAACACACTCCCCGAAGGCTTTGGCGAGGATCTGGTCACATTTGAAGAGCCCAAACCAGAAAGACAGCTATGGGATCCCGACTCTCTGATACGTATCTATCCTGACGATGGTGATGGGGGAGGGATTTTGAATTCCAGCAGTGAGGAAAAATCGTATAAATTGAGGTCATATGTTATGTATTTGGATGCAGAAACACTGCAAAGATATGCAGCCATGAGATCTAAAGAAGCATTATCATTGATCGAAAAGCAGACGCAGGCCTTGTTTGGAAGACCTGATATTACAGTTAAGGATGATGGTTCCCTCGACACATCTAATGATGAAGTCGTCTCGCTTACATTTTCAGGACTAACAATGCTTGTACTTGAGGCGGTTGCTTTCGGATCATTTCTCTGGGATGCAGAAAGTTACGTCGAATCCAAGTATCCTTTCATAAACAGCTAGAGGTACACTTTGTAAATTGTTTTACTTTTCAAGAACCCAATAATATGCTTGGCACTTCCGTCCAATATAATCAAATTCCGGAATTTAAGCAGTTTGTTCAATGGTATTTCATCCAGTTTGTTCTTCAGAGATCAAAGAAGTTTAAACCAGGCATGGAGAATGCAAGGCTAAGCTAGAGTTTCTGTAAGATTCTGATTCAATTTGAATTTCTATATTGAGAATTTGATGAAAGAAGTTTGGGTTAGAAGCAAAAGTTACAAAATGGTTATGGAAAAATCAATTAGTGAAATAATATGCAGTACATTCGATGAACATAGAAATGGAAAAAGCATGGGCAGAGATGAAATTTTTTTACTAGTGTAAAAATTGCAATAATGATGACTAGAATTTACCATTCTCTTAAATATGGAATTTGAAAATTAAGTGTGAAAAGGTACAGAAGTAACTGTGGTGGGTCCTCCTCCAGGCTGATGCAATATTTGATAAGTATAGTGGTGATTAAGGCCATTTTCAATTCATCAATTTCATTTATCCAGTTTTAACTCCAAATATGCTATTGTTACTACAGTAATTTTATTTCAACCATAATTGTATTTTTTACTATTATTCTTTGAATATTCAATTTTTCATATTATTTTAAATTACTTTTTATTTTTATAATTTAAAATAAAATTTATGATTTTAAAAATTAAAAAAATTAAAAAAATAAAATAAAATAAAGCAACGTCAATTATTTGATCGTTGTACCGTAGCAACGTCAATTTTTGGCATTGGATTTGGCATAGGTCGGAGACAACCCACGCCAAAAAAGCTGGGTTGGAGATGTAGTAAGGGTGTGTTTGTTGGGAGATTGGATTTAGAATACAGTATTCATTCTATTTTTTTTAAAAAAAATATCAAATTAAATACTTATTTTTTATTTTTTATATTATACTAAAAATTAATTTTATATTCAAAACATCAAATCAATACCTATTTATATCATATTGTACAACTATTCAAATTCAAATTTTTTAATATTCAAATTTCAACTCAAAATTCAAACCCTCCAACAAGAACCAATGTCATTAAAGTGTTTTAGGTACTTTGCTTCTAAATGAAATTCACCGTTCGATCCAGCATTGGATGGCTGAAATATATTGTGATTGTTTTCGGTCAACGTGATATATTACTAATACTAGCGGCAATATCAGTGCTTATAATTATAAAAAAAAATTGCAGTGTCAATTAATATGTATATGTATTTTTAATTTTTTGATAAATTTAAAAATAATAATAATTTTATAAAAGATAATAATTAAATAAATAACAATGTCTAAAATAATTAAAAAAATAGTATTATTTAAAATAAATTATAAAAATAATTTTAAAAACTACGAATTAATATCTAATAATGATAATTGTGATTTACTATGTGTGTTTGTTTGGGGGTTTGGATTTTGATTTGGTATTTAAATAGTAAAAATTTTGAATTTGAATAGTTGTATGATGTGATATAAACAAGTGTTGATTTGATGTTTTGAATATAAAATTGATTTTTAGTATAATATAAAAAATAAAAAATAGATATTTGATTTGATATTTTTTGGGAAAAAAAATAAAATAAACAGTATATTTAAAATCCAATCTCCCAAACAAACACATCCATATATTTGGATTCTTAACTATATAAAATTGTTACTTTCATAAGTAATAAATAAAAAATAGCAGAGAGATTATAACTCAAATAGTCCAGCTCTCATTTTGCATGTAAATAGTTAGCGATTTGAACCATTAGATAAAAAAAGAGAAAAAGAAAGAGAAAAAGAAATAAAAAGAAAGACTACACACAGATAAAATAGTTATATAATATAAAAAAAATAGGTAAAAAATATATTTTAAGTAGTTATATAATTTTTTTGGATTGTACAAACAACGCCTTAAACTCGATATTTAAGAATAATTCACATACTATTGACATTAAATTAATTATGATACAAATATGAAATTTCTTTTTGATTTGTACTTTACAGAAAAAAAAATACTATTTTACCAAATGATTGTTACTTTACAAAAATACAAATTTTGTATTAAAACAACGAATCAAATTTTTTGCTATAAGAAATTAGTATTCATATCACTAAATTTACAATTTTATTTTTGATATATAAATATTGTTGTAATGAAAAACAATGATATTATTTTCCAAATTTCTTTGCATTCTTTTTACATTCTTTTTCCTTCAATATCTTCATCATATAGTTACAGTGCCGATGATGTAAAACAATATGAAGAATTAAATGAAGACAACAATAGATTCAAAAAGCAATAGTAACAATGAGGCTTCTACAATTTCTAATATATAACATAAAAGTTAAAACTTTATCTCAATTTCGCTTTCAACCACCGATCCTAGATTGATTGGGCATGTCTCCCGGCCAACATCCCATCACCCTTGAAGCCTCCACTCTAAATTCTTTTTCATTTTCCTTCCGTTTATAAGCGAATTACAAAAGACAATTAATATTGATCTGGACTCGCATAGAGCTAGAATAAGAAGACAGATTCGTAAAGTCATATTCGCGTACAATGCCACAGTAGCTCCAAACTTGGTCAGCCATGGCCGTCGAAGAACACCTGCAGCGTCCCCAACTCATGCCTGGAAACCGACGTCAAAATCTCCAGCAACGGACCCACGGACATGCTTTTCCATTTCAGCTGCGCTAGAAATTCAGAAGAAAAAAAAAACATCACAATCCCTTGGGTTGGTGATTTAGTTGTACGTAGAGTGTGAAAATATTTCTATAATACTGTATTTATAGTATAAACATTAAGATTTATATATATATTTTAATAAAAATAATTTTCCTTTGCAAATATACTAAGGGCATTTCATTTATTAAAATAATTAAATACTTCTCTTGTACAAAAAGGACTAAAGAGAGTCTACAAACAAAATGTATGAATATATATACAAACGACTATATATATTATTACTGTTACTATTTTTTATTACTATAATAATATTTTATTTTACTAAGAAAAAAATTGCACTAATAAAAAAAAGAAAAATAAATAAAATTATTAAAAAATTCATGATTTAAAATCAAATAATAAGTTACTATTAACTTAAATATTAATAACTAAATGTATGAAGTAATTTTTATATAATAATACTCTCTCCGTCGCATAAATATAGTATTAATTGGATTGTATACGAGATTTAAGAAATATTGATATTATATTAATAGTTGTAAAAAGTATGGATAAAAGATTTTTTTTTACCCTTGTGAGTGTATTAGTGTAAAAAGTAGCGACAATTGTGTAATAAAAATGAAAAAGTAGGGGTAGTTTTATGATGATATGGTTATTTATGGAAATAAGACTATTTTTTTTTGGACGGACGAAAATGGTAAACAAGACTATTGTATTGGGACGGAGGGATATATATTATAATTAAGATATGTTTAGATAAAATATTATTATGCAAAATAAAAATATTTATTATATCTATTTTTATCTTTTTACTATACTCAGATTATTAAAAAAAAATACCGATTATGTTTTATATCTTATAGTAATATATATTTAAAGAATTTATAATTAATAAGTATGAAATAATATTTCTCTTAAAAAGTGTTCTCGTAAAATATAGGATAAAATATTAATTTTTAAAAATATATATAATTAATCACTATGCATGTCTCAATTTAAATAAAGGGTAAATTGTTTTTTTAGTCCCGTAACTGACCCCCTTATCATTTTAGTCCCGTAAGTGGAGCCTGTCGCAAACTAGTCCCATAAGTGAAATTTTTTTCGCTATTTAGTCCTCCGGCGCCGGGGACGCCTGCGTGGCTAGCCGGAGGTGACGTGTCCGCCAGGTATCCCGCCAGTTCAGCGACACCTGGCGGACACGTGGATTTATTATTTTTTTCATTTTTTTAAATATTTTTAAATATTTTTTTTAATTGGACCAAATAAAAAAAATACAAATAAAATTACAAATAAATTTGTTGGTGCAAACCCAATCCCACATCGGAAGTTGCGAAGAAAATTCGACACCTTATAAGTCCCAAGTGAACTCCACTAGTATGAGGCCTTTTGGAGGATATCCAAAAACAAATCCGTGCGGGCTCAGCCCAAAGCGGACAATATCATACTAGTGTTGAGTTGACCCAGTCCCAACAGTGGTATCAGAGCCCGGTTAAATGATGAAGTGGACTGGGTGGCATTGGGCATTGGTTGTGGTGGGCTCGCCCTCGTGACCTGCGGATGAGCCTTGTGTCGAAAGTCTCCTGGTGTTGTTGGGTGACCCAGTCCCAACAGTGGTATCAGAGCCCGGTTAAATGATGAAGTGGACTGGGTGGCATTGGGCATTGGTTGTGGTGGGCTCACCCTCGTGACCTGCGGATGAGCCTTGTGTCGAAAGTCTCCTGGTGGTGTTGGGTCGGTCCCGATTGAGGTAGTCAACTAGTGTTGAGTTGACCAAATCCCAACAAAATTAAAAATAAGTTTTTTAAAAAAGTTAGAAAAATGAAAAAAAAAATAAAAAAATCTACGTGTCCGCCCGGTGTCGCTGACCTGGCGGATACGTCACCTCCGGCGAGCCACGCGGGCGTCTCCGGCGTCGGAGGACTAAAACAACAAAAATTCTTTACTTATGAGACTAGTTTGCGACAGACTCCACTAACAGGACTAAAATGATAAGAAGGTCTAGTTACAGGACTAAAAAAACAAACACTTTACTCTTAAATAAAATAAAAATTACCAATGCAATGACCAATCTAATTGTACAATCAATAAAAAATATTAAAAAAAAAAATCAAAATTTTGAGATATGTTTAGATAAAAATATTTATATCTATCTCATTTTTTACTATACTCAATTACTAAAAGATAAATAAAATATTGATTATGTTTTATATCTTATAGTAATATATATTTAAAGAATTTATAATTAATAAGCTTGAAATAATAATTTTCTTAAAAAAAAATGTTCTTGTAAAAAATGGAATGAACAATCTAAAATAATTAAGCTATACAAAATATCTTATATATTCGTATAAATATACTATATTTACAAATATACTTTTATTTTTATTTTTATTAACGTAGCATATATTTAAAAAATAACTATTAATTATAATTATATTTTTTACAATATAAAAAATAGAAATAGTAAAAATACAATTACATCAAAATATATATTTATTTTTTGTATATTATGAAACTAGCTTGAATCTCGTGCTACACACGGTAATGTTACGTCAAATATATTGTAATATAATTATATATTTTAATTTATATAATAATTTTGTATATTTTAAATATATACTATTTTTTAAGTATAATTTATGAGATAAATATATATAGTATAAGTATACATAATATTATACAAATTTATATAAGTAAAAGTAAAACATA